CTCCACAGACCCCGGGGACAGGAGAGGAAAGGAAGAAATTTGTCTGTGGAAAGGCAGACCATCTGCTCAAGGCAAAGATTTATTTTAAAAGCCTTGCTGTGAAGGGCTACTTGACGAGCAGTGTTGTGGCTTCGAAGATGTTTACTGAGAGTTCTGCCCAAGTTTGGGAGAGGGCTTGAGATGCTGACGCAGTTAAGAAGGCTGGCATATTGTGCCGCTTAGGGGTACGTGCTGAGGGAGAAAGCAGCTAACCTGGTGACCTTGATAAAAGAGCAGCCACTGGAGTTAGGACTGGGGAGGGGGGAGAAAGGTGATGAGTTCAGAGGAATGGTCTGGGAAAATAGCTGTTGTGAAAATGTTCTTGGGTGGTAGTGAAGTGAGGAGGTGTTTAGGAAGGCTTAGGAAAAGTATACAGCAAAAGTCAATTCTGTCTGAATATAAGAAATTCCACCCCCGTCCCCAGCCCGCCCCGTGAGGGTGACTGAGCACTGGAACAGGTTACCCGGAGAGGTTTTGGAGTCTCCATCCTTGGAGATATTCCAAAGCCATTTGGACACAGTCCTGGGCAACGTGCTCTAGGTGACCCTGCTTGAGCAGGGGGTTTGGACCAGATGATCTCCAAAGGTCCCTTCCAACCTTAACCTTTCTGTGGTTCAAGGCAAAAGTCCAGCTGTGTGTGAGTAGCAGAAAGGTATCCACAGATCTAAGATTTCTGGGCAAAAAAGATCTGGGTAACTAACACACAAATATATGCAAGTGCCTGGATGAAGGGTTGTACTAAAGTTGCAGATGCTGGAGGCTGGCAATACAATGGTCCTGTCACCTTAATCAAGAAGGCAGACAGGTGAGGCATAGAAAAGTGTAAGCTTAGTTTTGCTCAAGTTGCACTTGAGCTGACAGTTGAGCATCTGCGAAGAGGAAGTCTTTAAGAGATGGCAAGGGAGGCATATCTCAAGGAGAGATGTTGATTGAGAGTGATCAGGGACAGACATAGGTACTGAATTTTCTGCAAAGAAGGTGCAGAGGAGGAAAAAGGGCTGCTAAGGACTAGGCCTCCCAGATGCGTAGAGGAAGAAGTTGGAGGTGTTTGCAGAGGTTGCTCTTGAAGTAAAAGGCAAAGAGACGTGGAGCACTGTGTCCAAGAAGCATAAAAATGAAAAGGGACCATGGAGGGTGTTTGGAGAAACTATCTTAGGAACTGAAGAGATTAAAACATGGCTTTTTTGGGGAGGGGAGGGGGGGAATGAAAGAGGAGAAGACACAAGGGAGAAAGGTAGGAGTATGGCATGACACTAAGCAGGGAAAAAAGTTTAAGGGAGAAAGTAGCTAAAAAGTTGTCTGTGATGGGATTCCTGTGAAGGACAAACTGAAGAGAGGCAAGTCTTGTTCCTGTCGCCATCTCTTGGAAGAAATGGCAAGAAATGGGTGGAGGATTGAGCAGAATGAGCCTGTTTGATCAGGGGGATTGAGAGAGCTGCCTCAGAGCTGACGGGGCTGAAGAAAGGGAACTTTTTGCAGAGATACCTCCTTAGTTAGTGGCATCCTGCTGCTAGAAAAGCCCTCTGTGAGACTGGGAGCAGAGCCAAGAGCCCTGGGTGAGGCAGGGAAGACATTACTGGGGGAGAAAGAGGTAATAGAAGAAATTTGGGCATGACTATGGAAGCAGATATTTGAAGTCCCAGATTGTCAGCCAGCACAAAACTATTTACCTTTTGTCTTCTATCCTCTTTCTTGACCTCTGCTTCTTCACCCTGATAATGTAGCCCGGATCAGGTCTTTCCCTTCCTGAAAATCTCACACGTAACTAGAAACTATAGTCTATGCAAGGATGAGAGTGTTTGTTTTTCTTTCTATCCCTGGAATTTACTTCATGGGAGAAGTAGGTGGCTAACATAATTCATGTTTATTACTAAATGCTACTCTTTGATGTTCTCTTATTATAATAGCCTAAACTCAAAGCTAGCAATAAACCAGAAGGATGGCACTTCATAAACATAATGCTTCGTTTTTTGCCTTCTAAACTTTTTGAAACTTGAAATTCAAAAAAAAAAAAAAAAGGCCGATCTCCTTTGCATGCAAAGGAACTCTTCAATTTCATTTCACAAAATAGCATCCCTCCAAGTAAGGAAATCTCAAAATCCACCCCTCCGCTCCATCCTGCCAACCTGGCAGTTCATCACTCTTGGTGAATTACCCTGTGCAACTTTTGATCAGCTGGCTTTAACTTTTTTTAATGCAACTTTTATCAGAACACTTTGCCGTTTCCCTTATTTCTTGGCCTCTCTTTTGTGGAAATTGCTCAGTGCTCCTGCTTCTGTATAGCATTTAGTTTGGATGTTTTTGGTCATCTCTTTGCAGTTGTAGGCAGCAAGCGTAGTAGCTAGCCTATTTTGGAGGATCTTGGGACAGAGCACATTCTTTGCAAAGCAAACATTTACAGTTCTCTTTAGGTTTTTTGGTCATAATTAGCTCTGTCGGACTAAATTCTTTACAGTTCCCTTTGACCCTCCAGTCTTGACTTCTGCAATAGTAGATAGCATATTTGCATTAGATAAATAGATCAGAGTAGTTTACTTCATTATGGAAAACTAATCTGCTTGTTAGGACTGTTTATCAAACGGGGTAATACCGTATTGTTCTGGCAGAGACTGTGCTGACAGACACACCAGTCCTTGTGTCTCTTTCTTTGGAGTGATGTACTAAATATAAGCTTTGTTTGTGGCTTAGAAATGCAGATAGTCATTGTAGCGATCTCTTAAAAGCCCTCAGAATTTGCAGTTTCTGGTGGGTATGTTATTGTGAAATCCTGGTTGAATACAATGCAGAGCACCCAGTCTCCAAGCTGTGTGGTAATGCAAAACCTATTATTACTGCGATACTCCCTATCAGCCTCATTAGGGATGATGAATGAAGGTCACTGCTGAAGCATTTTTTTCCTCCTCTGAAAAGACCCGTTGACAATGGTTGCTGCCTGTGTATATCACAGTGTAAACTAATCAGCTAAACTACTCCTACAGTAATACTAATCTTTTTTTTTAAATCTCTTTTGAAGGGACTCTATGTTGTTCTTCCCTTTCCATGCTCCTTTGTGCAGAATCACCTTCCAGTTCTCTTGCTTTAAAGGGCTGCATCATGCAAAGGCCCAAGTGAATTCACTTGCATTTATTTATCCTTATCCTGTTCCTACATGATGGAAGTGGTCTTTTGGGCTTTCTGGAGGCTGAACGTGTGAATGAGCTCATTTGACTGTACAGCATTCACAGCAGACCTCAGTGCTTGAAGTCTGCGGTTGAATCCCTCTGGATGGAATTACCTGCATGTCACGTTCCCCTGACGTAATTGTGCCTAACATGCACAAGAAGGTACCTGCAGGGGTTAGTCTGGAAGGCCAGGACTTTTCACCAGCTGTCCACCTCTCGGGGCAGTTTAAGCTGAACACTGGGTCATATCAACTGGGAAACAACTACCCTTTCTTCTTTTCTCTTTTTCCTTTCCCATGTCACTTTTCCATTGAATGTGGCATCCTGGTAGTGGCCTATGGCTTGGTGCATGTTGGGCAGAGCAGAAGCTATGGCAGGACAGGCATCTGGACAGTTTTGTAGGCTGGGTGTTGTACTGGCCGAGTTCAGACTGCATAGCATCTGTTTTATTGCAAAGTGCTGTGCATGCTTGTGGTTCTGAACAAGTTGTCATAAAACAAATGTTTATTGGAATTGGCACCCAAATACTTTGGCCCAGAGCAGTGCTCTTTTGGCTAAAAGAACCCTTTGCTTCTGGTCAGGTGTGTGGAGTAGAAGGTGTAGCTCTACGCAAAGCCTACAAAGATCTTACTCCTGTCTCTAGTTAAATATCTTATTTTTGTCTCTCTAGTTTACCATGTGGATGTTAAATTTGTCAAGAGAACATAGTTTCTCCTTTTTTGAATCTAGGAAAGAGGAAACTATAAGATGCATTTTTTTTTCCACATAGCAATGCTTCAACTTTTTCATTTTGAAATGCAAATGGAAGTGAGATATCATTTGGATTTTTTTTGGAGAAGAGCAGAGGGTGGAGGGCAAAGAGTGACTTTTCCTCCATTGGAACCAGCTGTGGTTTGTTCAGCTCTTTTGCATTTGGATGGGCATTCTAAATTGAAATCCAAACTGGACTAGCTGTTAATATTATGAACAAGCAGCCCAATTTCACTAAATAAGCTTTCAGAGGACCACAGCTGGGCTTTGATGCTGAAGAGAGGGATTTTCATAACTGCGGAAGTAATTTGAGTACATGCTTGCACCTAAAGCTAGTGGTTCCTTTGCTTGAAGATGATTATGGTGATGATTCATACTTTTGTTAGTCTCAATAAAAGAATAGCTTGTATGTATAACAACATGTTTAACAACTGAGAACCTCTTTAAGCAAATAATTATGTTTTCAGGAGAAAACAGAAAACTCTCTCTCTCTCTCTCTCTCTCGCGCTCTCTCATTTATTTATGTATTTATTTTTATTGACTAACTTTGCAACTTCCATGAGATCCTAATTAAGGCTTTCCATGTTTTTGGAATTGCGGGCATGTTTTCAGGAGTGAATTAGCATGACTTAGATGTTCAGCAATTTTATACTAATACTATACAGTGTAAGTCCACACCGACTGTGAAATTGAACATAGCAGAATGGTGGTTTAAGCTAGTTTGTTAAACTGGACATCATCTTTCTTTCTCTTTCTCTCTTTCTCTCTCTCTCTCTCTCTCTCTCTTTTTTTTTTTTTTTACTTCTCTCCTTCAATCTACTGATTTTCATGTTTGGAGAATCTGGAGAATCTAATTTTGTTCTCCTGTGCTTAGTAGTATATTCTGTTTCTGGTATCAGAAATAAGTTTAATTGAAATTTTTTCCACAGGCACTTTCTGACTTACTTTAAAGTAACTTCATGAATTTAAAACATTTTAAATTGCCTTGGGCCAAGCTGAACTGTTTTTTATAGCTATTTACAAGTGTATAAAACTTCAAAAGTGAAAATTGATGGAGTGGCAGGAAAAACTTCTTTCTTGCATCATACTCCTTTAAATGTTTTGCCGTTGGGATCCCAGTGGTATCGATGGGAAACAGGTAAAGAATTTTTTATAAAGTTGTTTAAATAGCTGAGTAGCTTCTTCTGAAAGCAGTCCAGTGAACGCTCCTACTTTAAAGAAAAGTAGTTCTAGGGATGCTAGAGATGATGATAAGGAGTGGTGTAGCTTCAAATTTAAATCCTACAAATGTATTTAGCCTCTAGGGGATTTAATGAAAATTTAGTACTTAAAAAATACACTTTCTTTTAAGGTAGAACATTTGAGCATATCTGTTATCAGTCAGGGTGGTATCTTGGCAGCCACGGTTATATTCTACCATGAGGAACTCGAAAGGCATTTGTATGCTTGAAGGCACTGATATGCGATTGTATTCATCATAGGAAGAGAGGTGATGTACACCATGCTCAAAGGCCAAACTGGAGCGTTGCAATATAATGACATTTGAAATCAGATGCCCTCTTTGCTTTCTCTTGCAGTTTGGGGCAGAGTTCAGACGGTTCTCCCTGGATCGCTACAAGCCAGGAAAGTTTGAAGACTTCTATAAACTAATCCTTCACATTCATCACATAGCCAACCTGGAGGTGATGATTGGATATGCTGATGTGCATGGAGACCTTCTCCCCATTAATAACGATGACAACTTCTTCAAGGCTGTTTCAAGTGCTCACCCGTTGCTCAGGGTTTTTATACAAAGGCAAGGTAAGATGCAGTTTTGATGTCAGTGCCTCAGAGGGTGCAGAGATAGGCTGAAGAGTGGATCTGTGAGCCCTTTGTGATTCGTTTAAAGGCCCAGACAATGCAAGAGGGCCCTGGGAGCCTTCCCACCCTTCTCGCAGGGTCACGGGCTTCTTTCAAGCGCTTCATTACAACGTACAGGAATCGCTTCAGGTAAGAGGAGGGACTGCGCTGCTGCCTGTAAGGTAGTAGATGGACAGCATGCTGAGTGTCATCATGAGCCCCTTTACCTAGGGAGACATACCTTGTCTTGCTGGTGTTGTGTCATCATCTGAGCGTGCCGCGTGCACCGCCCTGCTTGGGGAGGGAGAGGATCCTAGTGTTGTATTACTACTTCACATTGAGAAATCTGTCTGTCCACCCATCCTGAGAATCAGCGTACTCAAATGATCCAAGCCTGTAGAGTGTGCAAATGCATGCAGATACCTCGTTGTAGGAAAATGAAGTTCTGTCACAAATAAGGTCTTGTTTGAGGATGTTGATCTGGCAGATAAATGATGGTTCTCCCTCTTGTCCCTTTGTTAAGAGGTATTGGCTTTTCCCTTTTTGAATCATTAAGCAAGTGCTGGGCAGGATTGCCCAAACGTCAAGGTGATGTCAGGTTTAAGTGTCTGTATGTTGCTCTAGTCAAGCTTTTATTGCAGATACCTGAAAATATACCCTACCTTCTTTGTAAAGATCGTGATCAGCAATTACTTCAGACAAGGGTTGCTTTTTATAGCAAGGTATTCCCTCTGGAGAGCCCCTTCAATCCCAGGGGAACCTAATGCTGTATTAACACTACTTCCATGGTTTTTCTTCAGTCATGAAGTGGTTTATAGCGTGGGGCTTGGAGCTAAAATCTTGTCAGTAACAGGCTCAGAAATGAAACTTGATTTGTGACTTTGAGCAGTCGCATGGCTTTTCTGGGCTGGACTCTCTGCTGTTTAGGTCTTTGTACTGACAAGGGTTTACCAGGAGGCTCCAGCCTGCTCATTGATTTGAGGTGGTATAGTGTGTGTGGTTCAGGCTCATCAGACACAGCCAGGGCTGTTCATCCTTCCTTGGTTAGAGCATATTATCTGCCTTCCTCTTGTAGGTGGGAATAATACTCAAGGAGGCAGTGGAGAAGAAGATCTAGAGCCTCTATTTGTGAGACCTTTTGTTTGTGAGTCTGTCAAATGAGTGGGAAAGTCTATAAGAGAAGGCTCAGATTGCTAGCTCTCCCTTCTTGTGCAGAAAGTGCAAAGTTGGATGACGTTCTATTAAGGCTTCTCTCTGGCACGTGTTTGGGCTTGTGAATGTTCGTTGGGTCAGGTCTTAAGAAATCTCTTGCGTGACTTTGTCGTGTCTGTGTCAGTTCAAGTTTATTCATATGTCTTCTGTACAAGATCAACCCTGTTCAAAATGTGGCAGTCCTTGCTCTGCTTCAGCAGACTACTGAAAACATAGAGAATCTCTGAACTCTGCTGCATCAGGACGGGGGTTGTTTCTGTGTGCCAATAAACTGCTTATCGCAAGAGCAGGCAAATGGGAGAAAATTTGTCAGCCAAATGTGGAAAAATACTCCCTCCTCCTCTCCTTCAGTAGGAAGCTGTATGCTAGTAGTGAAGGTTTCCAACTTATGATCATAACAGATCAGTGTTGTATTTTCCTTTTTTAAAACTTTTTATTTGCTTGTTGCTCAGTGGAAAGAGTCGTACTGACAAGACAGGAAGCTAGTCTAAGTGGAGGACGGGCCCGTGCCTCCTTATGCAGACAAAGCCTGAAAGCTTTCCCAACGTACTTCCCTGTTCCCTCCAAATCTGAGGTGAACAGTAAATTTTGGGCTACCAATTTGACGAATGGCAGCCTTGTTATTAAGGGACTTTTGGGGCTAACATTGGAGGCTTGTATTTGTGGATGCTTCCAAAACCATAATGTTTGTATTTCTTTTCTGGGAAGAAATCCTAAGAAATTGTTCCCTTCAGCAGTAACAGGCATGCCTGAAACTTTGTCTGTCTCTTCCTCGATCTGTCGTACCACTACTATTTTGCCTCTCTCCTGACTGGGGTGACAGAGCAGCACTGATCCTTGTGCAGGAGATCTACACTAGAGAGCAAGGTGACCAGTTCTTCTCCCAGAGAGCAGGAAAACATTGTGCCATTCAGAGGAATGTGGTATGTCTGCAGTGTTTCAGATCATATCCTCAACTCTGACTTCAGAGGTGGGAAAATAGTGCCAAGGACGGCAGAAAAATATGAGGTGAGTCCTGTGAGTTTGAAGGAGACTGCGGAGCATGGTCTGTCTAGCTCATTAGGCCATGGATTGCTGCCCTTCGTGAGAGGAGTCCTGGGAGATGGCTGCCAAAGCTTGTTTCTGTATGGTTTTAGAGTTTGGAGGGTTTGGGGGGAACTGGCCAGAAGTACGGAGGCGTGAAAGGACTGAATAGTTGAAGTTCGGATCTTTTTCTAGCAGAGAATACTAATCATACAATTGATTAATAGTTTTCTTACCTGTTTTCCCTGTTTATAGCTGGGTTATGTCCTTTCTCTTGTCAAGTGGATTATAATCATGTTAAAACAGCTTAATTATTTGTGTGACCAGAGTGACAAAATAGGTGACTTCTTCTTTGCACAATAATCCAGAAACAAAGTTTGCTAGTCTGATATTTTTGTTTGTTTAGTTGTTTTCTATCTGAACTTAGTCTTACACTTTTTTAATTCAAAAGCACATCTCTCACTTGTCTCCAGAGGCTAATTGTGTGTGTGCTATTTGGATTCTTAAATGCCAGGTTGGTGCCCAGGTATGGGACCAGGGAGTTTTATTCCACTCCCTCTTTTTTTTTTTTTTTTTTGTTCAAGTCTCCTGAGGGCCATGTTTTTCAGAATCACAGTAGCTCTTCCCTCCCCAAGCAGGGAATGTAAGTGCTTGTTATCCAGCAGTATCCTTTCTAATAGGGAACTGAGTTGCCAATCCCAGTGTACCTACCACAATTACTGCTGCTAGGTTTTGGGGTCTTGAGGGCTGCAGGACTTCAGGGACCATCCCCTGATTTGAGCACTAGTGCACTGTGTGCATTTGAGCACTAGTGCATTCTGGCAGCTGGCTATCAGTCAGCTTAAGGTTCGTTATGCTGCTCCTCTTGCAACTTCCTTTCAAGCATAGTGATAGCATGTCTGCAGGCTGGAGTTGAGTAATTTCAGCTATGGCAAGTTTTTGTAGCTCCTGGAGACCCATCTAATCAAAGTATTTGGTGCTCTTCTGTGTGTGCATGTGTGTGTTTGTTTTTTGTTGTTTTTGTTTTTTTCTCCTCTCCCCCCCCCCCCCCCCCCCCAAAAAAAAAACCTTCAGAATCCTAAATTACGATGCAGACAAAGATTAGACAACCAGGCTATAAAAAGAAAAGCAAGACAGTTTTCCTTTGACTTTCTTTCCCAGGCTACAGTATAGACTGTGTCCTCAGCTGCTGTAAACCTATGTGGCTCTTTTGACTTCATTAGCACAATAGTGATTTATGCCAGCTGATGCTTCAGGCCCAAGAATTTATTCACTTGGCTGTAACCGATATCAAACATTTGCAGAACTCTTTGTGGAAGGTGCCTGCTGTTGGGCAAGGGACGGATATCCCAAAGACCGTAGAACAATGCAAGGAATTATGGATGTGTTCGACTTACTCCACAATAACTAAGTCTTGTACTCTAGCCAAGATTTGGATGAAGGAAGAGCTTATCTGATGACAGTATCTGTCTTAAACTACAGCACTTGAAACACTTGGTCTTTTGAATACTGCAAAAATATTTAAATGGAAGCTATGAATTCAAGTAGAAACAAAGAATAAAAACTGAAAGGCATTAATATTACCTGCTGTGAATGCATTACTTTTCCTTGTATGATTAAATGGAATGACATATCAAATCTTGCTTTTAATGTCTGTCTCCCAGAAGCAGAGCGTGGGTTCAAACTTCTCTTTTAGAGGCAGTTAAATGAAATGGAATAAATAGCAGAAGTATGGCTCCATCACTGTATACCTGCTTGAAACCACTCCCTGAACTTTGCCAGAGGGACTTAGGGATTTAAGTGAAGGTCTACCAGATAACAGAGCTTTCAAGATTTCTTCTCCTTTACGTGGCTTATCTGCTATGATGTGTTTAATCTAGAATGGTTAGAAACAGTAATGTCAAGTATTGCCGAATGAACGTGCTGATCACCCTGCAGGTATTCCATGCAGCATTTATTCCAAACCTAAAAGGTGGGTGTGGGACTGTGATACTGAAGAACGGCAAGCATAGCGAATGGAGTGGTGTTTGGGTCTAATTCTAAATGTGTACACTGATGTAAAGCCACATTAGTGATCCTTATTCTGAGAGGTGCAATGGGCACTGTGCTGGTGACCAGCCCTTCCTACCACTCTTCAGGGTTTGTAGACCTTGCATGGAAGTAACAGAAGATCTACCGCAGATAAGGCAGCAAAGCAGATGCAGAGAGGTAACAAGGTGTCAATCCTCATCTTGACCTCAGCTAGGGGTCAATGAACTCCTCTTCTGGAGAGGTGTATCCTGATCGTGGTTTGAGGCTTTGGACCTCTGCTTGTTTTGCCCGAGTTTCAGCAAGTGTCCTTGTTCCTGTAAATCCTTAGTGTTGATGGAAATGTATCCCTCTCAACAGAACAATTCCCAAGGAAAGCCTGAACGAGTTGAGGTTTGGAGAAAGAACTAACCTACATAATCCTCAGGCAGTCTTGACAAGATAGAGTGTCAGTAGGGGCTGAAGTTGTGCTTATGGCTGTTGCATGAGCACAGCTGCTGTTCCTATGAATCGGTAGATGTATTACTATTGCTCTTAAGTAGCTTCCATTAAAAAAACCAGCAGTAAATTAATGAATGTGGAGAGCTTTATATAGCCTAAAGCAGACCAAATTCACAGTCTTTCCATCAATAAAACTAATTTTTAAAGCTTTTTAAAGATTTAACTTGTTTTGTGATAAGTATCCTACTAGTAGGAGA